TGGGAGAATTGCTACTAGAATTTTGAATATTAAATCAAATCCCTTGAAAGGATTCTATCACAGAAAAGTGTAAAACAACATCTTAGGCTTCGATTTACAGTTCACTTCTTTTTCTGTTCATGAGAATAAACATATCCTACACAGACAACCAATTACAAATTAAGTCTTTGATTTATGCCCTCTTCATCCACAACGTAAAAGCAATTCTCAAATTCTGGCAATAGCTTGAAGAAAAGTAAGAAATGAAGTTATTTATAAAAAAAGCACTTTAGGAGACAGCATGGCAGAAGAAAGGGAATTGGAGAAGCAGAGTGATCTGAATTCTGAACAAAGTGGGAAACACCATACAAGGGCCTCATTTTCCGTACAAGCGATCGACAACAAAAGCAGCTGACACCTTCTTAACTCCACAACACTTATTTCTTTTTATCGCCCCAAGCACTTAGCCTTTACAAGGTGCTGACTGTAGCTTATGAAAGGAAATCACTGATTTTTGTCCTGTTCTCTTCCGTTTGACATTGTAACACAGTTGCTGGTTTTCAAGGTGAAAGTACAAATACTACCTAGACTATGGCATCTCCGTAAAATTCTTGACATTACTATACCACATTCAGGTGGCAAACGTCAACCTTTCACTGCCACCACTCAGCAAAGCTACATCTTATCAGCAACACACAACGGTACGAGGAACCAGAACACGGAAACACACAACTAGAAAGCAACGTACCTTTCTATACCAGGGGCTGGTCTCGCAACACACCAAATAAGCGCCCACCCTCCTGCCAATATTCTCACAAGTACCACAGTTTAAGAACCATTAGTGAACGAGGAACAAAAGCTGTTAATGGCACATGGATCTTTTTCTACAGAGCTAGTTTGTCAACAGTGTAAAAACACTAATGGGCAACAAAGAAAGTTGCTTTACAGTTATGGAGCTGCTACAGTCCTAACCTCCACAAAGCCAGCACATAATCACGCCTCCTTAACATAACATACGACTGTTACTAGCACCAGAGACAGTCAGGACACTCCGCAGCCTGAAGAACCATCAAATACATACATAAATGTACCATCAAATAACTTTATGAAGGATTCTGACCTTAAGTAATTCTGAGCTATAAGACAAATGACACTTAGAAGAAACAAGCCTTCTTAACAAACCCAGATCAAGGCTCAGTAAATAAATTCCTACAGTGTCACACATCAGTAAGAACCAGAATTACGCCTATCCCGCATAACATGCCGCTTCCAGTCTTCGGAAGGTTTGACGTTATGTCATCCGCTAGCAAAACCTGGGAAACTACAACAAAAAAAACGCAGCCCCATCCACCATAGCCTTCCATCGCCATTTCATCTTCGAGTCACCACGCCAGTACGTTTCACAGAAGAAAACCGCCTCGGTGCTGCCTACACACGAGCATTCTCTGCCCCGAAGAGCCGGAACCGTTCAGGCTTGAAAAACGAGGAGGGGTGAAAAGGCGCCGGGGGAACCCGCGGGCACCACGGGCCCGAACCAAGCCCGGCCTCCCCC